AAGAGTTCTTTGTGCCCCACATCCTCACCAATATTTGGTGTTGCTGCATCCTGGATTTTGGCCATTCTAACAGGTGCATAGTGGTATCTCATTGTTGTTTTAATTTGCATTTCCCTGATGATATATAATGTGAAGCATCTTTCTATATGCTTATTTTCCATCTGTATATCTTCTTTTGGTGAAGCTAATGTTTTTATTTCTTTGTCCTGCTTCAGTTTATCACTTTTAATTTTTTAATAAAAATAATTATCCCTTACATATTTATATGCTTCACATTTAGAGTTCATCATGATGTTGTAAATTATAGTACAAAAACAACTTAAATCAGGTATATACCAGTAACTGAAGCACTGGCTCTGAAATTCTTAGGTTCAAACTTTATCTTGTTTACTCCAGAGCCATTGATCCACATGGAATTAATACAAATTCATATTTATTTCTAGATACTTATTCACTACTCCCACTTACTCACTACCTAACAATAATAGTGGTTAGCTACACATTTTTCTTCCAATTACAGTTGTTTTGCATAACTTCAGTATGCAAAAGAAAAAAAAAAGTTTTCTGGATTAAGTTAAAAAATGTATGTAAAATTTAAAAAATAGATGCATCTTTGTCAGCTGGGTGTGATGGCTCATGCCTGTAATCCCAGCACTTTGGGAGACTGAGGCGGTTGGATCACTTGAGGCCAGGAGTTCAAGAGTAGCTTGGTCAATGTAGTGAAACCCGGTCTCTACTAAAAATACAAAAATTAGCCGAGCATGGTGGTACATGCCTATAATCCCAGCTACTGGGGAGGCTGAGGTATGAGAATCACTTGAACCCGGGACAAGGAGGTTGGCTGCAGTGAGCTGAGATCATGCCACTGCACTCCAGTCTGGATGACAGAATGAGACTCTGTCTCCAAATAAATAAACAAATAATAGCTACATCGTTGTAAGTGAAAAATTCATTAATAAATCATTTGTAAGCCAAGGAACGAGTACAGATACACATTCCTTTGAGTACTTAATTTGAATCTATGAAGGTGGGTAAAATTGCTCTGAAAGAGTATGAGCAGTGAAAAAACAAGGAGCACTCAGGACCTAGACCTAAAAAATGTCAACATTTAGGAGATGGACAGATAAGCTGGAGCTAGCAAAAGGGACAGGAGTTGCCTGTTAGAGAGTGCTGGGAGAGGTGAGCGATACAGATGAGAATGGTTAACTTTTTAGGCTGGGGGCAGTGGCTTAGACCTGTAATCACACCAATCTAGATTGCTTGAGCTCAAGAGTTCAAGACCAGCCTGGACAACATGGTGAAACCCCATCTCTACCCAAAATACAAATAATTAGCTGGGCATGGTAGCATGTGTCTGTGTGGTTCCACCTACTCCAGAGGCTAAGGTGGGAGGATTGCTTGAGCCTGGGAGGCAGAGGTTGCAGTGTGTGAGATCACACCACTACACACCAGCTTGGGTGACAAAGTGAGATTCCCTATCAAAAAAAAAAAAAAAAAAAAAAAAAAGTTAGCATTATAATGGGAAATATAATTTTGAAATAAATTTAAAGGGGGAACAGAACACTGAGATGAAGAACAGAAGGCTGTACTCTCACTAGATATATAACAATGGATAGGATATATAACTTTGCCCTGAGCCTCAGTCAGTCAATTCCTCCAGCAAAAGGAGAGATGATAACACTTACCTCTATAGGCTGCTATGAGAACTTATCAAATTAAAACATTTGAATATACATTGTAAGTGGGAAAACATTACACAAACTTCAGAAACTTGCCTTGGCTCTCTGCTTAGAACTTAACATTGCTCTAGGACAGAGGCCCATCCCTACTTACCTTTCTCGTGCTAGTCTGCTGCCTGAATCCTGACCTCCCTAATGGTTTTCACCGTCTTCTCTGCTGACTGATAGGGTCTTAGGGACAACTGCCCACTGCCTAAGATTTATTCTAGCACAGTTGCTGGGCTCTAGCTGAATCACTGACACTATTCCTGTCTTCCTGGCAAGCCCCCACCCCCATGAACCCAAGTTATGATATCCTCCAAAGTATTATTTCTCTTTTTCTTTTCTTCTTTTTTTTTTTTTGAGTGAGAGTCTTGCTCTGTCGCCCAGACTGGAGTGCAGTGACACGCTCTTGGCTTACTGCAACCTATGCCTGCTAGGTTCAAGCGATTCTCATGCCTCAGCCTCCACAGTAGGTGGAATTACAGGCATGCACCACCACACCTAGTTAATTTTATTTGTTTTGTTTTGTTCTGAGAGGGAGTCTTGCTCTGTCACCCAGGCTGGAGTGCAGTGGCATGATGTCGGCTCACTACAACCTCTGCCTCCTAGGCTCAAGCGATTCTCCTGCCTCAGTCTCCTAAGTAGCTGGGATTACAGGCACCCACCACGAAGCCTGACTACTTTGTGTTTGTTTGTTTTGAGACTGAATCTCGCTCTGTTGCCAAGGCTGGAGTGCAGTGGCGCCATTTCAGCTCACTGTAACCTCTGCCTCCTGAGTTCAAGTGATTCTTCTGCCTAAGCCTCCTGAGTAACTGGGACTACAGGCACGTGCCCAAACCTGGCTAATTTTTGCATTTTTAGTAGAGACAGGTGTCACCATATTGGCCTGGTTTCGAACTCCTGACCTCGTGATCCGCCTACCTCAGCCTCCCAAAGTGCTGGGGTTACACAGGCGTGAGCAACCGCACCCGGCCACACCAAAGTTTTTAAGACCCTAGAAAAGGCTTTGTACTTTCCCAAGTTCTACACAAGCACATACAGAAAATGAATAGTTACTCATGACAGAGTATTATAATAATGTCATAGAAGCAATTCTTGCCTCCATAATAGAAAGTTATATGTCAAGATAAAATAACTTCAGGTCTTTTATATTTTACAGTGGACTAACTTATATTGCTTTTAAGGGATGTCAGTTTTCACTTTCTAAGAAATTTAATTACATTTGCTCTTCTCTCATCTTCAATTCCCTTTCCAGTCCATCCCTAGATTACAAAGAAAAATGTAAGTGAAACTGCAATGACTTTACCTAAGTTCTTAAGCAGACTACCAGGTTACCTACTTTAAGGAAATAACCTGGCTCCTTCGGCCATGGGGATGGTTGGAACTCAGACATGGATGAATTTCCAGGATTTGTTATGATGGGTTATATGCTCCCATAGAATTCTGTACTTTTCTTTCAAAATATTTACCAGTTCATAATTATATATTATATGATAACATATTTCTCCCCACATGACAGCAAGATCCATGAGAACAGGGTAAAATCTATTTTTCACACAAATGTATATCCCAGCACCAAGTTCAGTGGGTGCCTCGAAAGTAGCAAATACTGTATACAAAACTTTCTTTTTTTTTGAGACAGAGTCTCTGTCATCGTAGGCTGGAGTGAAGTGGCACAATCTCAGCTCACTGCAACCTCCACCTCACTGGCTCAACAATTTTTCTGCCTCAGCCTCCCGAGTAGCTGGGATTACAGGCACCCACCACCCGCTGATTAATTTTTGTATTTTTAGTAGAGATGGAGTTTTGCCATGTTGGCCAGGCTGGTCTCGAACTCCTGACCTCAGGTGACTCATCTGCCTGGGCCTCCCAAAGTGCTGGGATTACAGGTGTAAGCCACCACCTGTAATACCACGTTTTGAGTACAATCAAGCTCTTTAGTCATTGTTCGTTTATCTGTAGAAAGGGACATGATAACAGTATCTATCTCAGTAAATTGCTGTGAGCATTGAGACTTTAAACGGAAAACAGTTGGCACTGAAAATGGCCTGTAAATGGTAGCTACTATGTATTTTACATATGACAGCAAGATCCATGAGATTTATTCTAGCAATTTATCTACTAATTTAAGGAAATAAATTTTAATGATCGTGGGACCAAGGACCCAAACTACTAAAACCTCTAATACATTAATTGATCACAGTAATAAGTCCGAATTTGTTCAAAATAAAAGATTGGTATGCTCCAGATACTCTGCTAACTGCGGCGGATAACTGATTTAGCAATATTGGTTCAAGGTATCAGCACAGCCTTCCCCAAAATACAGATTATAAATACGAATCACCTGAAGGGCAACACGAGCACCCCCACAACACCCCGACCAACAAAAACCATATGCAGGAGAGAGGCGTAGGAATCTTTAATCACCCAGTGATTTGTTTGATTACGAACTTTAAGAAACACTAAAAAGACCTCTTCTCCATTCTCTATGTGGCTAATATAAGCCCTAAACGTCATTTCTATGTATTCGTTAGATCATTGTTTACTAGAAAATCTGAGAAGTCCTTTAGGACTCAGTAATTTTACTATTTTGAGTTGAACTGAAAGTCACTCGTAAATAGTTTGTGCTCTGAAACGATTCCCAGTGTTTCGAGGTAAGTCGTCCTTTCACCCGAGGGGGCCTGCTCCTCGTGCCCGAACTGCCCGCGCAGTACCTCCCCCCTCGAACGTCCTCCCGAAAGCCTCCTCCTCCCGCTTCATCTGGGCCTCGGGTCTAGCTTGTTTTGTCCCTTCGCTGCACTTGAGGAGAACATTTGGTGCTTTCCCAGCACACGACGTTTTGCTGGAATGGTCAATTTCCAGGGATTTTACAGGCTGGCCAAAAGAGTTTGTTCAGAACAGCGCCGCCGGGGCACTGGCAGCCTGGGCACCGGCAGCCCTGGGCGGCAGCGCGTTTTCTCACTCCGCACAGCCACTCGTGACCCTGGGCGAGCGAAGGCGCGCCGCCGACCGCGTCAGGGCCACGCTCAGGCTGGACTTCGGAGCTGGAAACCGGGGTGGGGAGGGAGGAGGTTTCACAAACAGAAAAGACCTCGAAGCCATAAGGCGGTTCTCATGCTTTTCTGAGGGTGAATCCTTAAAATTCCTGGGGGAGGGAATGTCTGCCCAGGGTTGGAGACAAAAGCGTGAGAACTAGGATGGCGAAAACCGGCCTGAATGAGAAAATCCGAAGGAGGGAGGCCGAGGGCGGACAATTGGGCTAAAAATAGAAACGCACCCTCCTCAGGACTCGCTCTTTCCAGCTCCACCCAGAGGCCGAACGCCAGGCCAGTTGCTGGCTCCGCGAGAACGCGCAGCGCCCCGGCTCAGCCCCGCCTCCCGGACCTACTGACTGAGCGCCGGGGGCGTGGCCTCGGGCCCTCGACGTCACCGCGCTCACCGACACCGCCGCCGCCGCCGTCGGGGTTTTCGCTGACGCACGGGCCCCGCCCCCTCCCCCTCTTTTCCCCCACAGCCCGGGCACCGGGCGACGAGCGCGTTAGTCGGCCGGGACGCGAAGCTGTGTGCGTCTCCTACGCGGGCTCGTTCGCTCCCAGGAGCCGCGCCGCTTCCCCGGCAGTGGCAGAAGCGGCGTAGAGCGCCATCAGCGGGCTCTTCCGACCCCCGGCCTAGCGGCGCGCGCTCCGCTTCCCCTGGTCCGCCCGACCTGCCGCCTGTGGAGGCGTGAGGCGACGACGGGCGAGCGCCTGGTGAAGCGTTAGCCGCTGCGGCCTCCGGTCCTCCCTCCGCGCCTCCTCGCCCGCCCCCCGCTTCCCTCCTCCCACTTACCGAGCTCCGGCGGGTCCCGGCCACGCTCGTCGCTGCTGCAGGAACAAAGGAAGACCCCGCGGAGGCGGCGGCGCCACCTCCGCCTGCGGCTCCGACCCGCTCCCGGCCCGCGGCGGCGGCACCAGGGCGCCCGGCTCAGCCTTCCCGCAGGCCTCGGCCCGGCCTCACCGTGCGGGCCTCGCGCGCGAGCCCGGCTTTCGCATTTGGGGCCCCGCAGGGTGAGTGGGACAGGGTTGGGGGCGGGACGGGGGCGCCGCGGGCCAACGGCGAACCGGGGCAGGCCGCGGATGGCGGCGTCCGGGGGAGGGGAGCCCGCCCGCCCTCCAGCTCAGGAAGCACAAAGACGGAGGCGTCGTCCTGTCGTCGTGGCCCGAGGCCTGGCTCCTCCGGAGCGCTGTCGGGAAACAATGCCCGGCGTGCAGCCTCTGCGGGGCCGGCCTCTAGGCCGCTCGCCTCCCGCCTGGCCGCCCTCAGCAGCGGCGGCCTCCGGCGCGGGCACCAGGACCCGGAGAAACAAAGAGGCCGAGGCGCCGGCCGCGCCCCCGGCCCGCCGCAAAGCCCCCTCCCCCCTCCTCTCTGAAGAGCCGTTCGGGGTCGGGATCGGCCTGGGGCCTGCGGGCGAAGGGCCGGCCGGGCCTGCCGAGCTGCTGTTGTGCATGACTCAGTGGTTTTCGGAGCCGGCCTTCCTGGGCTTTCCGGAGTGGGGCCTTTGCTTGGAGGGGGGTGGGGGAGCAGGGGGACCCGAACTTGTTCCAAAATCCATTGGAACGCGGGGCCGGGGGTTCTCCGGCGTCGTGTTTTGGGTTTCTCGACGTCGCTGCATGTCTACCCTGAGATCTGTTTTCAGGGAGGAAGTGGAGCACCTCCTCCTTTGTTTGGTGCATTTAGGCTGGTGAACGTAAAAATTTTTTGCTCGCTTTCCACGCACCTCGTGGAGCTGTGTTTTCGGGGAAGGGTCGGGCTATTTTTTATTGATTGAATGTCTATTAAGGATATATATAATCTATCATCTATTCCAAGGAGATACTAAGGTAAAGGAACATGTAGGTCACACATCTCCGTTCTTAAACCTGGGATTTAGATACAGAGTCCTAAAAACATAAACGAATTCTATTTTACACCGTATTAGGATTTTTTTTTAAGTAGGATTTCTTAACTCAATTGGTAAAAATACTGCAATTTTATGTTTAAAGATGTTTCTTAAAATGTTCCCCCACACCTTCCTAAAAAATTAAGGATTCGTTGTAGTTCTCTCCTGTTTTCTATCTCCCAGGCCCTGAAAAGGAGCCTTTAAAAGTCAGCCCTCCTCTATTTGGCAAACAGCTGAAATCTGGAAAGTAAGGACTTGCCCAAGGTCACTGGCTTAGTGGCAGACTAGAGACTTGAACTCGGTTCTCAATTCCCAGGTGAGTGGGAATTCATGCCGTCTCAACATCTTGTGCACCTGGAAGAACTATATTCCTTGGGTGTAAAAGCTCTTTGTTCCGAGTTGGAATTGGCGAATTTTTCAGTTACACTCAGGTGGTTTTTTTTTTTTTTTTTTTTTTAAGCTATGAGTTAGAGGAAGCCATAAACTTTATAAAATGTGCATTTTAGCTATACCTGATAGAGCTGACACGTGCATGCTTAAGTTTCTAATTACTTTAAAGGTGATAAATAGTAATGGTATTTTTTTTCTAAAATCCTTAAAGGAAGGGAAATGCAATACCTAATGGGAACACGCATCCTTCACTTCATCCTCCAAATTGCCACTAAATGAGGATTCTTTCTTAAACTCTCTCCCCTGTGCTTAGTTTTTCATAAACAACCTTGACCATTTTAGCTTTGAGTGATTTTTATGCCTTCATCTTCTAGATTGAGATTGTTCTGTAGTTTTTCCTCATTAGGAAAAAAACTAGCAGCCTTTTTTGTTTTCTTATGTTAGATATATGAACGCTGCATCCTTAGTTCTTGGGGTTGTGTAGGAGTTGGCAGGCTTTGAGATATAAATAGAAGCTGATTTCAGAGGCCCCTGTTGACTAGGCTTTATGTGAGAGCCTCCATCCAGCTCGGCTTGTCACATTGCAGCCTTGTGACAGGCTGAAGCTCCCTCCCATGTGATCTAAGCTTCTGAGAAATATTAAAGCAAGCTGTGCACATGTGATGGCATTTAAAAGCTGGTTTTATAGGGGGGAAAAAACCTAAAAGATGGGAACCCATGTAGAAGACTCTCATGTCATGGTGCCCCCTGTGCGTCTCGCAGTTGAAGGTTATTTATAATGAAATGAAGGTAGACATGTTCTAAAGGGTAGGTGGAATACTTTGTCAAAGTGTGTGAAATCTTTAAATGGAGTATCCTCCATTTTATTTATCTAAAAGATTTTAACAGTCAGATTGAAATTACATATGTAGGTTGATTGCTTGGCCTTAAACTTAAGCCAGTTTGTTTTTAAAGCCAGTGTCAGATGACAGTGGACATTAGTGTAGAAAATGTGAGCTGGCATACTTAAACTGGTTTTAAGGAATGACCCAACTTTTATGCACAGGGCAAAGATTCGCACGTTTTGTGCAAGGTGGGCGTGCAAATATGTACATATTTATCTTTTGAAAGCATTTTTGCTCCTGTCATACTCAACATTTAAAAACCCAGCTGAAAGTGTTTATTAATAAACTTCCTAAGTGATGTTGAAATGTTTACACTACCCTGCTCCAAAATGAGTCAGCTAAATTCCACTTACTTTTTAAAGAGACAGTGTCAACTAAATTAATACTATTGTTCAAAGTAAGTAATAACTCACTGAAGAGTGTATTCTAATATGTAGTAGTTGGAAAAAATGACTGTGACCACAAGTCACAGCACACAAATTTTCCTTTAATCACATGCTCTCAAATATGCTTTTTGTACCCTTACACGTATTTAAGATGATAAGAAAACCCTCCACAACTTTATTGTAAAATAAATTTTCTTGAATAATTTCTCTCATCTAGAGGAAAACTTAATAATTTAATAGAACATTTTAACAAGACTTTTTAAAAAGCAAACCCTTGCTTGCTTTCAAATACTTGCTATGGAAAGCTTTTTCTGGTAACCTAGCACTGAATATTAACCTAGCAATACTAAAGAGTTGTGTATTTATATTGTGTTACTTTACTGTATTGAATTTGAGCTTGGAACAGTTTTATTTTCTGGTATGAGGAAGACAAGCACTTGTTAAAAATTAATAGTGCCTTTGGCTGAGAAATTTGGTTCATAATTTATACATTGCAGGTTCCTAGGCATTGGCTTTAAAGTACTCTGAAACAGATTTTCACACCACAAACCGACAACATAAAAAGAGTTTCATAAACCAGCTGACCCTAAATTCCTAAACTTTACTTGTTGGTGCCAAGGTAGCAGGAAGGGCTACCAGCTTTCTTTTCAGCCTTATATAAAGATGTTTCAACATTTTTAAAAAGTACAGATACCCTGCCTCAGCAGAAATGTCAAATTACTGATGAAGCCCAGATATGTATAGGTGTTAGTTTTAAGAAAGCTTTATTCATCCAGTTTACAGAACTACCTATAAATATCGAGTCAGTGATTAATTGTAATTAGCCAACTAAGTAAAAACATCATTTGAAATGGTCTACCTGTAGTGCAGGAGTGTCAAAAGTAACCAAAGAATAAAAGATACCAATTTCCCGAATTGATTAAAACATAACCCTGAGACCTAGCAGACCTTTTCATAAATTGAAACCAAGAATAGTGACAGATAAAAATATCTTAATAATGATAGAATTTCTTTTTAGGTTTTTTGGTTTGGTTTGGTTTTGTGTTTTAGGGGTTTTTTTGGCCCTAAAACAGTTTGCTTTTATAAAGGCAACAAAATATTGATAATTATCTCTGCCTACTCTTTAATGATTAACAGAATTTAGGTTTTTGTAAAACTTCTGTAGCAATAACAATGGTATACTGATGATTATATCAGACGATATTTTGGTGATATGCTAATTTCTGAAATTTTGTTTCATCTATAGCAGGACAATATGGCTCAGGAGACTAACCAGACCCCGGGGCCCATGCTGTGTAGCACAGGATGTGGCTTTTATGGAAATCCTAGGACAAATGGAATGTGTTCAGTTTGCTACAAAGAACATCTTCAGAGACAGCAGAATAGTGGCAGAATGAGCCCAATGGGTAAGTTGTTTTCAAGGAAAAACACATTTGAAGAACTGGTGGACAGAAAATATAGAAGCAAAAATTGGGGCTGAGAATGCTGAAAGCCCATGGAGAGAACACTTAAGAAGAGCTTGAAATTAAAGCAACAGCCCAAGTACTTGACGTGACTAATCAGGAATGAATTGACTATCTACAAGCATCTTCTAGCTTTTCAGTTTTCTTTTTTTTGACGTTTTACTATTTCACACTTGTGTTCATTGGATATGACTTTTTAATATTTTGTGTTCGGATACTCAAGTGTAGGATTACAGCACAGTGAATGCTTATATCACTAACTAATTAAATGCAAGTATTCATTACTTACTAAGTCTTAATACTAAGTGAGTTTTTTTAGTGTTCATTGGTTCCTTACAAGTCCTTTTTTTCAATAGGGACAGCTAGTGGTTCCAACAGTCCTACCTCAGATTCTGCATCTGTACAAAGAGCAGACACTAGCTTAAACAACTGTGAAGGTGCTGCTGGCAGCACATCTGAAAAATCAAGGTAAGATTGAACATTTCAGAGTTTTTATAATATTACAAAGAGGAAACCATGTCTACACTAGTCCAATAATAAAAATGTGAATATGTCAGATGTCCTTGGTTTTGCATTGTTGCATAATCAAGGATTTCAGTGTCAGGTCTGACCTAAGTCATTGAGTAAAGATGTATATAAGAACAGACTCCCTAACCCCCTTGAGGATTCTGTGTTGGAAATGCTGTGCTTTTTTATTTCTTTGTAATTGAGGTTTAGGGGTTGTCAAGTGAGACTATGGACTATATTATTGGACCAAACAAGGTATTTTGGCAGAACTGCCATTTTTGCCCTTAAACAAGTTACAGGCACAGCTAAAAATTCCTAGTTAGTTTTGGAATATGGCAACCTATACAAAATGCAGCCCCGAGTTGATGAGCCATTTATCAAACTTAAATTTCTCAACCATTTATGCTGGGCATCCAATATTTTTTTAAATTTTAGGTGTTCTAGCTCCATTTGCTCATGTTGGAAATATTATGTAATTTAAAGTTGAACTGACAACTATTCATTGTCTCAAGAAGTACCCTTAACACCTTAAAAATTGTTTGCTTGAACTCAAATAGAAATGTGCCTGTGGCTGCCTTGCCTGTAACTCAGCAAATGACAGAAATGAGCATTTCAAGAGAGGACAAAATAACTACCCCGAAAACAGAGGTGTCAGAGCCAGGTATGCTTTTCACTTAATACTTGTTCAGTTCTGAATTTGATAATGCAAGTAATGATTGGTGGGGAGAGTCTTTCCTTCCCATTGAAGGACCAAAGAGGAAGGAGAGCTATAAAATACAGGCCAAAGAACTGCTATCTTTAAAAGTTTCTTGACGTGTAAAGTAGTCATTCTATTTATTCTCAATTCTCTGCTCATCCCCTGCATTACCCTCATGTGCATAATGGGCAAAGTCTGTAATCTGGAGATGGGATGCGTTAAGAACTTGAAGTGAAATTTCAAGGTCATAAAGGATAATTTTATGAACAAAAGCAGTAATATTGTTTTGATATTATCAGTGTTGTAGAAAACTTTGAAACAACATATTGAACACTAAAACTTATTCGAAGAAGTGCAGTATTCCTATTGTATATTGTGTAGGAGTTTAAAACTCAGTGTGAAAAGACATTTTGTTTTTCATGACATTTGATGAGTTTGGAGACTTTGCTTATGTAGCACAACCAGAAGCACCCTAATGGTGCAAGAAGACTAGCTTGAATTACCTGTACTAGGCCCTAGAACAAAGATTTCTGTATTTTATGTAGTGCACATATTTGATCAATTTGTTCTTTTTTGGCAGAGTGCTAATTAAATGCAATATAAAACTTGTGAAAAAAGTGTCAGTGGTTATACAATCTGCTTTGGAGGCTTGCTTCTGCTAACAGCAGTCAAGTTTGTTTATTGTATTAATCTTACAACATTAAGGTGAAATTAAGGCAAAGTTTGGCGGATAGATATATATTTGGTATTTTGAAATGAGCTCCATCCTTAAAACTGACCACGTTAGTGTTCCTATGATGCTTTTTTTTTTTTTTTTTTTTTTCAAATACTCTGATCTTGGAAGAATAGTCTTGGGTTAGAGTTGTAGCTAGCATGTATTAGTAGGCATTTTGTGGTTCACTGCTATGTGCCTTTTTTGTATAATTTTCTTCTTAGCCCCCCTTCTTCCCTTGTCTCAGTAACACAGTTCATTTTCAGGTGTGGCCAAAGAAATGACTGACATTCTCTTCCCCATGCAACTATTCCCATAGATTATTCTTTATCGTCATGACATCTGGAAAAACATTAGTGTTTTCACAGTAGCAGTAGGTAGAACTTTGTTCTTTTAGTCTAATTAATAATAGGCTATTTGTCCCAGTAGATGCATTGCTAATGCAATTGAATTATAAATTTGGGCAGAGTTTTAGAGTAAATTGCCATTAATCAGCTTGCTGTAGGCGCTAATAGCATTGGTGCTGGCATAGCTGGGCAGTAATTTCAGCATTGGCACACATAAAGTTGCTATTTTTATGGTTTGGATTAATATTAAAACCCGAGTTTATAGTGTTTCAGGTGTAGTTATACTAAGTATATGTAAATTTTGATATTTCATTTTAAATAACTAGTGGCAGTGTGGGCTTCAGTAATCTATTTTTTGTTCATTGTGAGAAATTTTATTGATGTCATGTACACTGAAACTTAAAGCTCTTTTAGGTGGAGAAATGGTGGTGGGACTGTTTGTAGATGCTAACTCTAACTGTCCAATAAGATTTTTGTTCTGCCTGTGGAATCCTTGATAGTTTAAAATCAGAACTTCTCAAGTAGTTTCTAAAGACTGTGCTGATTTTTTAAAAATCTTTCAAGTCTTCCTATCATGTATAGTGCACCTTTGAAAATGGCAAGATGATTGTTTTGGAATTTTTGGATCTGACATTGATTTAGGGATTAGTGGTTTGGGTTTTGTCAAAATTTGCTGTTTATATCTACAGAATTTTTCTTCTATAAGCAAAAAACTCAAAATGATTTATAGCCAACTGCTTCAAAGTTGGCTACTCTTATTTACTGAGATGTAATGAATTTGAACTGCCCTGGTTGAGAAGTTTGCATTTAGGAAATTATAATGTGGAGAAACTGAGCGTATGATTAACATCTCCCAGCTCTTTAAAACAGAATTAGGATTTTGTTTTTAGTACTGGCTGATAAGAGCGTTTTAAAGGAATTTCTTGAGTGAGTGATCATTTTACAAAATTAGAGAAGCAAAGTATGGTGATTGGCAGGAATTTCTTGATTTGAAAGGTTCTCATGTTAAAGTATTTTCAAGGAATGCTTCTTACTTACTTTTTTGTCTTAAATGTTAGCCAGTGAATGCTTGATAGATTTTGTTTTTGTCCTTTTCAGTTGTCACTCAGCCCAGTCCATCAGTTTCTCAGCCCAGTACTTCTCAGAGTGAAGAAAAAGCTCCTGAATTGCCCAAACCAAAGAAAAACAGATGTTTCATGTGCAGAAAGAAAGTTGGTCTTACAGGTATTACAAAATAAAAGATGATGTGTATTTTACTTCCTGCAGTTAAGAAGGAGCTCTTGATCACTCCCTAAGAGACTGATCTTAAACATTTTTTAAAAAATGCCTGGTTAGCTGTAGTCTAGGAAAGGTGGGGGAGGTGGTATTGGTGTGGAAAGAAGTTGAATTTAATTTCCATCTGTCTCCTAATCCTATGAAATGTTTTAACTCACACCCTCCTATTTTCTTTTATTAGATTGATAAAGTTTTTGTATACCTAGCGAAAATGTTGCTGGCATTGCCACTGGCTTTTTGAGCTATGCACAGAATGTTCTGAGTGCTTTTTTTTCTTGTCCCCTTTATCTTAGACCTTGATGGTTGTTTTCACTTGAGGAAACATTACCCACTTAACATAAGGTAGTACTGTGTTTTGAATCCAGGTCAGCCTAACGCCAGAGCCTGTGTAAATTTTATCCTACTTTGCATCTACAGGAGTTGATAGAGGGAGAGCACCTGGTAGAAATTAGCTGGCAGATAGTCCATTTTGTTTTCTCCAAGTGGTTTGGCTTACCAGACACTTCCCTGTTGCCCTTGCAAGGGAAGACTGAACATAGTTATTTGAATTTCTCACCATGTCAAAGGAAGTTAAAAGTTCCTTTTTTAGTGTAAAGTTTATAGACTTTTTTCAAGAGTTGACTGTGTCTTATCACCAGAAAGTAGAAGAAAAGAGTTCACTGTCTTTTATATTGCAAAGTAGTGAAAACCTGGTTCCCTTTCTATAAGTAACTAAGCTTCCCCGCACTCCCCCTCTTTTAATTGCCTCAAGTTCTCAAGTGACTGCTTCTTTCTTTGTTCAGGGTTTGACTGCCGATGTGGAAATTTGTTTTGTGGACTTCATCGTTACTCTGACAAGCACAACTGTCCATATGATTACAAAGCAGAAGCTGCAGCAAAAATCAGAAAAGAGAATCCAGTTGTTGTGGCTGAAAAAATTCAGAGAATATAAATTACTACTTGTGAAGAGACTGAAACTTTGTTTTTATTTTAATATATCGTAGGAAAACATTAAAGAGCAGATGCATGGCCATTTTTCTTTGATGTTCTCCAGAGTTTTACTTTACACTTGTCTGTCTTATAATTGATATTTTAGGATGTTTGGGTGTTTGTTACAGGCAGAATTGGATAGATACAGCCCTACAAAATGTATATGCCCTCCCCTGAATAAAATTGGATGAAAATCTGCACAGCAAAGTGAAATACACAGATAACAGGAACAAAATATAGTTCCCATGTGCCAAACAAAATAAATGAAATCTCTGCATGTTTGCAGCATATCTGCCTTTTGGGAATGTAATCAAGGTATAATCTTTGGCTAGTGTTATGTGCCTGTATTTTTTTAAAATGGTACACCAGAAAAGGACTGGCAGTCTACTTCTACCATAGTTAAACTTCACCCTCTTAATTTCACAACATGTTCTTTGGAAGCAGGAAGAAATGCTTATAAAGAGGATCCGACCTTCCCGTGAAACCAGTATTTGGCGCCATATATTAGCCCAGTTAAATTGGTCATCTAAGCTGTCAAATAAGACATTCTGTGAAAGGTAAACATCGAAACTGCTTATAAGTAAAACCATCAAGCCAACAACAGGGTCTTGAGATAATCTTTGAAGCTTATTGTGCTGGCCTGCACCAGAAGATGTCTGCATTACTCATTGCTAAAAATGTGTAGCACAGAACTGCACTAGGATTAATTTGTTTACAAGAAGAAATTTAAACTCTGCGTTTGGTTTTCACATACAGCAGCTCTATTGAATAACATGCATCTGAATTTTAAGTTGCAAAGGTATCTGAATAGTTAATTTTTCATGTGCATCTTTTGTCGAATGTTTTGGTTCAAGAAAGAATGTTTAAAGCCTTTTAAAAGACTTCAGTTCTTAATGTAACTGTACCCTTCTGCATGGAAAATCATAACCAACATGGCTGCAGTAGACTTCTTAGTGGTATCCAGCACCACTTGCAGAGGGCTGCTTTATCATATTGTACTTGGGTGTAGGACTCTAGTGTTCTTGGGTGTATTGCATGGGCTGCATTATCTACAGCATTGTACAATAACAACTAGAAAAGGCAGTATACTTCACTGATGCTTGTCTGGTAATACCACTTCTGTGTTATAATGGAAGGTTTTTTGTGATGTATGAAACTTGTGTTTTTTATATATAAATGAGTATAGTTAGTGTTGTGGTAATGCCTGTTTTCATCTGTAAATAGTTAAGTATGTACACGAGGCACTACTTCTGATTTATTGCAGTGTTCAGTCCTAGTTTTTACTTTTATTCTTAAAGCATTCAGTTTTGCTTTCAATTTTATGTACCTTAGTTCTGAGTTAGACCTGCAGATGTGTACAGATAGTTCATATTTATGTATTGCACATAATCATGCTATTCAGCATTGATGCTATATTGTATTATGTAAATAATAAAAGCCATGTACAGAGGGAAACTTTACTTGTTCATTGGGTTTTTAAGCCCCAGTTAGAATCCTAAAGGGGGGAAATTAGAAAATGTTGTTTTGCATGGCTATACTGTAATTTTTTCCTTTGCCATCCCTGAACTTATTCAAGTGATAACCAAGAGATATTTGAAGCATTTTCAGGTATGCTACCTGATAAGGCAGTTTATTTTTTAAGAATCCAATAGGCACCTTTGGAATCAAAATAATTTTAAAATCTGAGGACAAAGAATTGAAATTGGAACAGTTACGGACTGTCCCCTTTCCCCATGTTGTAAAAGATGAGTTTTTATAATTCTGAAGAAAGTAGGTATGACTTAAGTTTACAAAAACACTTGTTTCATTTCTGTTTGGGGTTTGGTTCTAATACAGAGATGCACCTGTGGACTTGGTCTTTGCAAAGTTTATGCCAGATCATGAACAAGGGTGACATGTAACTGCTAACTTTGCCCAGGGTAAATAAATACCAGAATGCAACCATTGCTTCTCTGTAATGCAGTTTGGGATGGAAATACTCTAGTTTTTCTCTGTCAGTTCTTTGCATGCTGCTACTTTCACTTCGAATTGGGGGTAGGGGGTACATGTATATGTCAATGTTTCTATATTGACAGGGTATTATTTCCCTGAACATGAAAAATCACAATTGAGTTGGAAATTACAAGATTTAGAAGGGGAACTTAATTTTTAAAGTTAAAAATGGAATCTGGTATATAGGAGTTAAGATGAGCCCTCAAGACGCCATCACTCTGAAGGTCTGAGTAGTAGCAAGAGATTGGTAGGGTTTTTTTTGTTTTTTTTGAGACAGTTTCACTCCTGTTGCCCAGGCTGGAGTGCAATGGTGTGATCTCAGCACACCCAGATTCAAGCGATTCTCTTCCCTCCACCTCCTAAGTAGCTGGGATTACAGGCATATGCCTCCGTGCCTGGCTAATTTTGTATTTTTAGTGGAGACGGGTTTCTCCATGTTAGGCTGGTCTGGAACTCCAGACCTGCTTCGACCTCCCAAAGTGCTGGGATTAGGGGCGTGAGCCACGTTTCCTGGCCAATTGGTAGGTTTTTTTTGTTTTGTTTTGTTTTTTTACAAGAAACATTAGACCAGAACAAAGATTTGTCAGGGATGTCCATTGATTGGGGAGAAAGGGATCTATAAGGCACCTGAGAGGGTTCAGTTCTAGATTCTTGCATTGAACCCTGAATGCAAGACCATGCAGTCCTTTAACTTGGAAATGCACGGACATAAGCACTTTAGTAATATAACAGCCGGGCGTGGTGGCTCATGCTTACAATCTCAGCACTTTGGGAGGTGGAGGTGGCGGGTCACCTGAAGTCAGGAGTTTTTGAGACCAGCCTGGCTGATGTGGGGAGAACCCGTACCTACTAAAAATAAAAAGTTAGCCAGGCATGGTGTCAGGTGCCTGTAGTCGCAGCTACTTGGGAGGCTGAGGCAGAAGAATCACTTGAACCTGGGGAGGCAGAGATTGCAGTGAGCCGAGATTGCACCACTGCATTCCAGCCTGGGCAACAGAGTGAGACTCTGTCTCAAAAAAAAAAAAAAAAAAAAAGAGTTTCCCTTACATAAGCAGACAAATCTTTACACCCCCACAACCTAAAGTTTTGTTAGGCTATGACCACATAAATTTGCGGAATAAATGGGTGAGTCCTCTTTAAAAACCTCATCTTCAGTGTGACTAATCTGTAAAACTAGAGCCTCAGGTTTGATCCTAGGTAGGCTTTCCACAACGTGGATTAGTTTACAAGGGAAAGCTGTTTTTGAGCAAAATGGCATAGTGATTAAGATCAGGGACCCTGGAACCAGCCTGTGATTTGGGATCCACTTTGGGCTGCTTCATCTGTTCAATGAGGACAGCAACCACCTACTCCAGGAGTGTGAAGCTGACAGCACTTAAAACTGTACCTGCCACATGATTTTTGCTATTAATGTCCTGGAGTAATGGTTTCCAGAATTTGGCAAGAAAACTCTTCGAGAACAAGATGGTTTCATCAAGTTGTGTCGTGAAAAGATAAAGATCTGTTATTTAAACTTGCAGTTTAGAATGATTTGAATGATTCTTTTCAGTAAGGCTTTCTTTGCAAGAGATCTGCATTAAATAAAGTTGCTAGGAAATAAAGTGAGCAAATAATCTACCGAGTAATGATAGCAAGATGTTAAGCATACTATTGTAATTGTATTCTGGAAGTTGGTAATACCTTCACATGGTTCACAAATAGATCTATCAATACACACTGAGAAGCAAAGCCTCTCAACCTGTTCCATATCCTCCATTCCAAAGGCACACATAGATTTTAGGTAACTCATAGGTTAGAAAGTTATTTAATTTCTTCCACATCATGTAAATATTTGAATATGTAACAGAATTTGACTCTTGTCTGTTTAAATACAAAGTTCTCAATAGTGGTTTTTGTTCATAAGTATTAACTTGTAATTTTGGAGAATAATGGGCATGGTTGCTGGTTGATTAGAAATAAGATTTTGTCGCCTTCAACTACCTAGAAGAGTTTCCATGGGTGAGGCAACAGGTTGTTAACAAAAAAGAACTGGAAATGTAGTTTCTCCTGTTTGTACAACCTGCTTTAAAAACAAGTGTACGTATACAACAGAATACAAAAGTTCTTTTTAACACTTGAAAGGATAGCTATTTCCATGCACAACTGCTGGTTTTAAATTTACATGAAAGCAGACTGTTTTTGTGTTTTCTTCCAGAGTATTTCTATTACAGCTGTAGAAGTAAATTCCGTTGTGTGCCATAAATGTAAGACTCCATTTTGTCTGCAACTGCTAAGTGCCACTCTCATTATGGGTAGGAATGTTGCAAGGATTCTTAAGCAGTCAACAGCAAGAAGAAAGAAGTTACAGACTGTTTTCTAGTTGGCTAATCTGTGTTGAATATATTTTTTATGATGATTTTTATTGACACAACAGAACCTCAGACTGTATATATCAAATGATTGCTAATGTAACCAAAGCTACTCAGGAATCGAGGTAATTTTTCAGTCAACTCAGAAGTTAATAGGAAATCCTTATTACACATTCTTAAATTTTAGATAAATGCAAGAACTATTCACAAAATAACATCTATCAAGCACCTACCAGAACTCAGGCCTTAGCCAGGAAAAAAAATACAAATAAATTAGCCTCATGACCTCAAATACTTGGGTCTGGGTAAATTGTTCAGCCTGCTCTTGTGAATATAATCCAGGATAAATTTAAAATGTTGGCTGGTCCTTGCTATGTAATATGCTTCTGCCCTTTTGTCCCTTCCCATCACTAAAAATGTATTCAAATGCGCAACCTACAATACCAGTTGACAAATATAATTTAGATTTTCTGTTGTGTGGTACTCATCTACTATTATAGAACCTCAAGCATTTCTCTAAAGAAAACTCTTACGCATCTTGGTGTTGTGGTTTTATGTCCACCCCAATGAGAAAAGTACTTACTAGGGTCATGTTTCCTAAGGACCCCCTCCCCTAAATTTATCCCATAGGAGGTCTTATAAATAATATCCACCTACTAAAATTATTTGGCTTCTAATGTTAAGTTTTGCACTAATTGCTATTGTAACAGTAACTACGGTTAAAAGTTGTAATATTTAAATAGGAATAATCTGCCATCTGAGCCATTAGCCTTTAGCATCTGTGTTATATTTCAAAATACCTGCTAAAATTGCCTATGCAGAAACAAGTTTTGTTTTTCGCTACACTGGCTTATTTGATTGGCACAAAAATTAGATTGCTTTGCATATCTGGGGTAGCATAACCAATTTTATCAGTGGCTAATTATTTCAGATAACAAAAATAACATGAGACTTCAGAGGTTCAATAAATAAAGTGATGATACCTATTAGAAGTGGGTACAATCTCAAAATATGATTTATATTCAGTCATGGTCCTTTAGCATATGAGTGATAGCTACATTTGAGTGTTTGAATGAAAGATAGACTTTTAAAGTGGAATATATGATAGCAGTTTTTACTTGGTAAGTTAAGGCCCATGGTAATAGCAAAGATTCCACTTATAACTGGTGTCCATTCAGTAAAAAACAGACGTAACCATTATGTGACTCAATACAAAGAAGAAAATTACACTGGTAAAAAATATTAAGTTTAAAAAGAAAAATACCTAGTAAAAACTACTAAGAGGATTACATTAGTGAAGATTCAGGGTGTGAAGTAAAAGGAGAGATTAACAGAATAGGTTTACATTTATTTGATCTCCTTACAGGAATCTATCTTTCATGGCAATGAATTCTCCTATTTTGATGAAACTTTTCAGGTTGATGGATTTAACAAGAATAATATAAATCCAAAATTTTCTATTTTAAGGTCATGATTTTATTTTTTACTCTGGTTCTTAAACACAATTTACTTCATTTCATGTAACACCTGCCAATAATAACCTAATAAAATTAAACAAGATCTGCTTTAGGTTTAACAAAATTAAAATGTGTTTAACAAAACCTAGAAATGGTGTGAATTTGCTCCTAGGAAACATTGAAAGCATGTGAAAGGAATAGCACTCTAATCCAGCAGTTTATTTTATTTGTGCTTTTTAATAATTGCTGTTTTAGATTATCTAAGGAGTTGATAATACATGGTTGTTTCTATTTGGTTTTGAAGTGATCCAAGTATGTATATGCGGTTTGTTTTATAAAACAACCACAAAATACAGTCTCCCTATGAACATATGCAGAGTGGTTAGAAAGTATTCTCACTCTCTAGGCCAGAAACATCATTAATGCTCTAATATCTGACTAAATGCTGATTAAGACATCTCAAGCTCTACCTATTGTCCAAACCGGAGAAGTTTTTGACAATTTTTCTGGACTGTGGAGGGTGTTTTTCAAAGATCCCTATTAAACTTAATCAGAAGGGAATCTCAGAAAATTGCTTATTTAATCTACAAACTGATAAACTGAGAACCTAAAGTATTGAAAATGATTAAATATTCTATAAAATCAATAATTTACCAAA